ATATTTAGTTTTTTATTTAGACGGGTGGTGTCTGATTTGATTTTTTGAGTGATGTATTTAATTGAATACATAGAGAAGGTATTTGTGTAGCAGTAGAGAGGAGAGATACTTATGGATTACTGGTAGGAGTTAGGTGGACATGGCAGAGATACCAAAATTACTACTACCTAATTTCACCCTTCTTAACCTCTTTAAACAAACTACTTTATTATGTCTTCTTTGCTTCAAAAGAATCAGTGGGATTTTAAGTTCTTTTCTTATTTATTTCTAAAAAAAACATATTTTTATATTTTCCATTTTTCAATTCAAACATGGGTAAGAACATTTTTAAATATTATACATTAAATGTTTTATTTTTTCACCCTTCCAAATCTCTTCGATATTGAAAGATACTTAAAATTAGATGATTTTTTTTCCTATTCCTTTCTTTCTATTTTTTCATTTTCTTTTTCTTCTAAAAGTTAAATTAAATAACTAATTTTTATAAAGATTTTTTCCTTCTCCCACCTCCCATCTCCATTCTACCGAATATACATTTTTTGTCCTTCCTTCGCTTTTACATTTCTCTTTTAATAATTATTATAATTTTCTTTTTCTTTTCCTTCTGTCTCTCATTTTTCTCCTTTTCACTTTTTTCAACCCCAATATAACATTTATAAGATTAGAAATACAGTCTTCAATACAAACTTAACTCGTGAATTTGTTAGAAACCATGGTTAATCAGACATGTATTTAAGATATAGCGTGGTCTTTTTATAAGTTTAAAAAATTAATAAACATATGTAAATGAAAATAGTAAATTATTATAAAAATTCAACGACTGCACATTATTATAGAATGAAAAAAAAACACATTAGTAATGCGTAAAAAAATTACTAGTAACTTTTATATAAAATAAAAATAAATCAATTAAAGTTTTTTTTAGTGAAAATAATGAACAAATTACTATCAATGAATAATTGTAATTTATTTTGTGTGTAAATTAATATTTATGTTAATTTAGGTGAAAAACAAACGAAAAAATCAGTGAATAAATATGAAATAATAAAAAATTCACTTTACATATCTGACCTTATCTGGATTCGAATGTATAATTTTTTTTATATAAGTTTTATAAATTATTCATATAAATTACATTGAACATCTTATCCATCAATAAAAAAAATCATAAATTTTTCCAAAATACGTACTCTTACATGTACTTGCGAATGAGACTATTATGTTGATATTTCGTGATTTAATGATAAAATTAATGTTAGTTAGGTAAGTTAAATTTTATTTGAAATTTCAATGTAGCATCAAAACTATTTTTTGTAGAATAAAAAATAACATATCAATAAATCGTTGGTTTAATTAGTACTAAAAACAATATTTGTACATTTACACGTATTACTATCGTTCTTAAATATATTAAAATTTATTTATTTATAAAATTATTAATTTTTATATTGAGATAACATAACTAAATATTAGAATATTTTCTAAAAAATATATAAAAAGAACATAAGTATTCAAGTTAGATATAATCTTATGTATACTACCTCTCTCTTTGATTATAAGATACTTGCAATTAAATTACACTCCTTAATAAAATCAATTAATAGCATTAAATTTCTCAATAATTTAAACTATTTTTTTAAAATTAAACTTAATTTTTTTCACTCAATCGTTTTACAGATAGTTAATTAATGACTATAATTTAAAAATGCCAAATGATAAATATATTTATTTATTTTATGATTATATTGTAAATAAAAATTTATTACATTTATAATATTTATAAACAATAATTTTAATTTGTCTTATGGATTAATAAAAAGTTATTGAAAATCGGAGTAATAAAATGTCTCGTATCTCATTTCATTCCATTCATTGTGTCCAGTCTTATCTCATCTCGTCCTATCCATTGTGTCTGGTCTTATCTTGTCTTATCCCAATGCTCCATCTCATTTCACTTACGAAGTAAGTTCAAAAATTTAACTCACTTTATTTAATAATTAAAAAGGTATATATATATAGTATTTATTAAAAATTAAATAAATAAACTTAATTTGTCAATAATAATCAATTTAGACACAAAAAAAGGAATAAAAAAATCCAAGTATTGTAAACATGAAAATTTTAAAAATTATACTTGAACAAATAAGATTTTTAAAATTATTCGGCTTAAAAGAAAAAAATTACTGAGAGATAATTATAAATTCCAATTTTTAGCTTAAAAACAACTTAAGAAAAAAAAGCCTTTACAAATTTAATATTTTTTAAACATGTAAAACATTAACATGTGAAAAATTTAGACCACCTAAAATTTATCAATATTATTTTTATTTATAGTATATATAAAAGTCATATGACTTTTACAACTATATTGTAAATACAAATTTATTATGTTTATAATATCTATAAACAATATTTTAAAGATTTTTTATTGATTAATAAAAAGTTATTTCGAAGTCACAGTAACCAAATATTTTGTGTCCCATATCGTCTTACTTAATAAATTGAGTTAAAAATCTAATTAACTCAATTTAATAATTAAAAAGTACATATATAATATTTATTAAAAATTAAATAAATAAACCTACTTTTTCAGTAATAATTAATTTATATACATTAAATAGAATACAAAAAATTAAAGCATTATAAAAAATGAAAATTTCAATTTAGCTTAAAAAATATTAAGAAATAATTAACAATTTCAAGTTTTGTATGTTTAGGGTTTGAGTGAGACACATGACGCTTTAAGCAAACACTCCTTAGATAAAAACAACATAGAACATGATTCGTCAAATTAAGCATTTTAACTCGATTTCTCTTGATAATTTCAATTATCCACCATACCAATCTAACATGCAGCTTCAAATCAATACATACTCATCGTAATCAACTCAAATTCATCAAATTGAATAACATATAAAACAATTAAACTCTTAAGAATTTTTTAATTTTCAAAGTTTAAAACAAAAACAATGCACCTTCAAAATTATTTAAATAATATAATAAGATAAATAACAATTCATAACAAAGTGTCACACTTGTCACTGTTTAAGTGTTATATTTATTGACCAAACATGTGGAGATAAAAATTACAAAATAACATGTCAAAAATCTTCTTTTATATCTATTTTATTAAGTGTTTAATATTTATTTTATTAATAAATCTTATTTACATATTTGTTTAGTTTTTTCTCATTTTCAAATATCATATTACTGAATGTCACATTATTTAAATATTATTAAATGTTAAAACTTAATTGTTGATAAATATTAATTTGACAGAAGAATTGAAAATTCATATTTTTAAAATCAAAGGCATTAAATATCTTTGTTTTAAAATAAATAAATCAAAATTACATATTAAAAAAGTAGATAAATAAAAAATGTAATTTATAAAAAAAAAATAGTATTACCGCAATTAGGTTTTTTTTTTCCTGCTCAAATAGCTAGTACTTTTTTTTTAATTAGAATTAACTTTTTTTTTCTCTCTTTCTTCTATCGCAATTGTTTTTTTTTTTTCTCCAGCTTTCTAAAAAAAATATTATCCAAACAAGTTAGTGTCAAGCGATTATTTTTTTAATAAGTGTTTCTTCTAAAAATAGTCTAAATAAACATACTCAAAGTCCTGTATTTCTCTTTACTAATTGCATACAAGGGAAACAAAATCTTATCTCTTATTATACACGTGTACTTATTTACATATTTATACTTACGAAATACAGACACTTCGCGTCTTCATTTAAATAGTACGTCAATTGAATAATATGTATTGTGTAATTATTATTACTTGGTAACATGTTTCCTTTAGATTTGAAGAATTTTTTTTTGTTGCATCTATTAATTATTTTGTATAATCTTTAATTTTCAATTTACTAGGTAGTTTCTCAAAGTGTGAAAAGTTTAAAAACTGAAGTCGTTGAATAAAAATAAATAAATGTAAACAATAAAAGAGAATGTGAATTAGATATAATTAGACGAATAAATTAGTTAAAAACCTGTAAATATCTAAAGAAAATATTACTTTAATTGAAAGTATAGACGTAGATTATATAAATTCAATTATGATATATAAAAATATATATAATATTACTAATTAAATTTTTATTTATAAGTATTTAAAAATGAAAAAGAATTAGAAAGGAAGATATTAAAATATAGTAGCACAAGTATTGAAGCACATGAGAAACGTTGCGATCTGAAAAGCAAATGTTTATCCATTTTTGCAATTAGGAATAGTTAAAATGTTTGTGAAATTTGAGATATTAAAGATAGAGAAGATAAGAATCTGTGTATCCCATTGATTGAGGCAGTGATAGTGGGCAACATTATCGTAGAAGTTTTTAATACAATTTTATTGAGGATGTCGTTGGCAGCACTCAAGCTCAAGCAAACGACCCTTTCCTTTTCCTTCAAACCTTCTGAGAAGGCCCATTCCCATCGACCAGTTTGGAATTTTGAACGCAATTTAAAGTCTAATCAAATCCCATCGATATCATCCAAAATTAAAAAAGAAAAAAGGAAAACTCAACAAGTTTGATTCCCAAAACGCCCTCACACTTACTTAACCCTCTTTCCTACCAACCAAAAGACGAGCCGAATAAAGCACGTACGAAAGCGGTGATTGACTAGGCCAGTGGGGCCCGCGGACTCCAACGCCAAATTCAACTCGATTTATTTATTTTTATTTTTTTTAAAAAAAGGCAAAAAAGCAGCCACCAGTTTCTTTTGAAAACAAGAACAGAAAAATAAAAATGAGAAACATGAAAACAAAAGGGCAAAATGAATGTGTGAATTGGGTTGGGTCCCACGCGCCTGCGTCGTCGCCATCATTACACACTCTCTTTCTTTTTCTTCTTTCTCTCTCCATTGTCCCCCTTTATATATAAACCCTCATCGGATCTCTTCGCCACCACAACCCACCGTGTCAACGAGAGTTGAAACAGCGTCTCTCTCTTTAATCTCTTTACCCAAAACGCTACCGTTTTCCTCTTTTTATTTTTTCTCTCTCTCTCTCTATGGATGCTAATGATTCCGCTTCCAAGAAGCGACTCAGGGATGACTCGGACGAGTCAGTTCTGGAATCGTCCGAGGCGAAGCGACTCAGAGACGATTTACTCGAGTTCCTGGACGACGCCGATGACACACCTTCCACTCAGGACCTGGACTCCGTCATGAAGAGCTTGCAGGAGGAGATCTCCGCCGTGGCGTCAGATTCCGGCGAGTCTCAGGCGCAGATCGGGTACCTCTTGGAGGCCTCGGACGACGAGCTAGGGCTTCCTCCCGCCGGAAAGTCGTCGGCTGCGGAGGAGAAGAAGGAGGAAAGCGAGTTGGTCCGAGTGGCATCTGACTCGTCTGGAATCGGTGAATTGTGGGAGTTTGAGGATCAGATTTCGAGATACGAGTCGTTTGATTTGGGAAGCGGGTTTGGGTATGAGTGTGATGAGTACGTTGCATTCGATGGACTTTTCGATCATTCGGATGTGTACGGTTTTTCTGATTCGTGGCGGCACGGAACCTTGCCCACACAATAGAAATAAAAAACTAAAAAAGAGGGGAAAAGATTGTTAGAGATGTAAATATTTTATTTTCCCTATTTGTTATTTTTGTTCCCTTTTCTGGATGAAGGGAATTACAGAAGATTAAATGCAGGACTTAGGGTAAAAACATGCAAAGGAAATTGCTTCCTTATAGTGTATTTCATTCTGCCTCTAAAACATTTTCTTCCGGAGTCTGGGCATAATTTTTGTGCTACTCAACTCTAATCTAACTGCAAATGGGATTTTTTTAAATACTATTTTTTTAAATTTTGTAATTAAAACTAAAATATAAGTATTAGAAGAGTTTATTTGCTTCGTTGGGATTTTCTTTTAAGATGTATATTATTTTCTATTCTTATCTTTAAAATAACAATAGAATAAAAATATAAATTAGTTTAAAAAATTAATTAATTTTTGAGTCTATAACTTTAGAATTTTATTTTTAAATTTTTATAATTACAAATATAATTATACTTTTTGAAATGGAAGGAACAAAGTTAAGTGATATATTGATCTAATAGACAACTAAGTTAAGAATAGGAGTTGAGGAATTAATACAAACCTTTCTACTTGTATATAATTTATCAATCACGCTTAAGGAAAGTTAAACTAATTTTAATCTTAGAAGAAGATTTAGTCTAAAATTTAATCTTTAATAATTAAGATTATGTACTAAAATATGATACTTAATAAATAATTATTTTATCAAAATTTGAAATTTTCAAGACTCAAATCCATCATAATTAAGTATAAAAATCTTATTCTTAAAGAAATGATAAACAATTTATTTTTTTAAATATTTTGGTTTTGGTTTAGCAACTATATTAAATCTTAGGACTTTTTTTTCATACAAGAACATTTTGACATTTAACATGGGACGATAATGAAACTTCTCCTACACTTTAAGATTTATAAATTAAAGGTGTAAAGAGGTAGAGATGGCGAAAGGAATAATGTCAAATCATAAGACTCACCATTCAAGGATGGAGGAGATGATGACCATGATCAACAACATGAAAGAGGATAATGGTCAAGCTAGGAGGAGAGAGGAGGAGATTGGGAGGGAGAATGAAGAAATGTGACGAAGGGCAAATTACAAAAGGCAATAGAGGCCAACCTCATGATGAGGGAGGGAGATCAGGTGATAGAGGTGTCGCATGATTTTAAACCTTTTTCAAAAGAAATGGAGGTAGAATTTGTCCCATGAGATTATGGGATGCCTAAAGTTAATTCGTTTGATGGAACACATGATCCTAGTTAACAATTGACGAACTTTCGTGTCCAACTGTTGATTTGCAAAGGTATTGTGGGAGCACAATGCAAGATGTTCATGGGAACCTTTTCAATGGATTGGTTCATGGAACTGGCTTTGGATTGGTCCAATTGTCTACCAGATCGATCCATAATCAATTTCGATGTGTTTAGTCGATTGTTTATAACTCAATTTGTTGCTAACAAGTGAAAAACCCAACCACCTGAGGTTTATTTGACTTAAAGCAACAATGGGGGAAATCTTTAAAAGATTTCTACTTAAGATTCAATGAAGTCTCAATAAGGATTGTATTTATTGTCGAAAAATGGTAGTTGTAGCATTTCAAAAGGCTTACGACCAAAGGAATTCGATGAGTCGCTAGAAATGATGAATTACTGAACAATTGTTAAGGTAAAAACATATGCTCTAAGCTATATAAAGTTGAAGGAGGGTTAGATTAGCAAAAGATCGGAA